CTGACCTGTAGACCACTTCAGACTTGTAGACCACTACTGACCTGTAGACCACTTCAGACCTGTAGACCACTGCTGACCTGTAGACCACTTCAGACCTGTAGACCACTGCTGACCAGTAGACCACTTCAGACCTGTAGACCACTGCTGACCTGTAGACCACTTCAGACCTGTAGACCACTTCAGACCTGTAGACCACTACTGACCTGCAGACCACTGCTGACCTGTAGACCACTGCTGACCTGTAGACCAGTACTGACCTGTAGACCACTTCAGACTTGTAGACCACTACTGACCTGTAGACCACTTCAGACCTGTAGACCACTGCTGACCTGTAGACCACTACTGACCTGTAGACCACTACTGACCTGCAGACCACTGCTGACCTGTAGACCACTACTGACCTGTAGACCACTACTGACCTGCAGACCACTGCTGACCTGTAGACCACTACTGACCTGCAGACCACTTCAGACCTGTAGACCACTGCTGACCTGTAGACCACTGCTGACCTGTAGACCACTTCAGACCTGTAGACCACTACTGACCTGTAGACCACTGCTGACCTGTAGACCACTGCTGACTGAATGAATGGAAGGATGTACAACAGCATTACCAGGGACTGTGTGACCTTTGGTTTTCACTGACAACAACATTATGTGGGGACTGATATTGTTTAGAGATGAGCAGCTATTACAGAGATCGGGAATATTAATGCCGTTCACATGATCAACACTAGTGTTTTCCTTTACCTCAAGTAAACGCAGCTAAAGTTCAGCAAGTCACTAACAATAACTTACAGTTTCAGTGTGTGTGTAGTAACGTTGCTCGGCAACTAGGCAGAGCATCGATGAAACACAGCCTCCCTCAGGGTCCTAGTGCCCGACTACAGTAGGCATTTAAATTGTGAAGCAGAGGAAACAACCAGAAGGATTATTTTAAGCCAATAAGTACGATTTACATTTTGATTATTCTAATACTTCTCTTTGCTTCTCTTTGTTGATGTCTACACTGTCAAAAAATCTAAATCTAATAATTATCTGTCTTAATATTATTAGCTTTAGCTCCCCTAAAATAGGCCTAATGACATCCAAGGTAACCAGGAAGACGGGGAATAGGACCCAGATGGAGACTCATACTCACAGTGGTGACTGACTCCGTACTAACACCCTTTTTATTTGTCACCCGTCTGTGTAGTTACACATTCAATAGTTCTGGACATTTTTAGGCCGATAAGCAAAAAAATAAATAAATCACATAAAGGATTCAGTATTGACCCCCCATCATTTTAATCCGTGCAGAGATGAACCAGCATTTAGACCAATGTTTTATTTCTACAATCACCACTGATGTAAATGATGAAAGACCAAAAAAAACTGGAGAGGATTTCTCAGGAAGCTGGACGACCACAAAGCTACTTCACACATTTCAGCTCAAACACATCATCACCAGCTAAAGCAGAACACACTATAGTGAGAAAGCACCAGCTTCACACCACAGCAGGAGGAAGCTGCTGCTGTGCTGTGATGCACACAGTGTCACGATCTGGCTCTTGGACCGTGACAAATATGGAGACACACCAAGGTTATTATAGTTTTGGATTTTACGTTAGTTTTTATTTTTAGTTCGTTTTGACTTTTTGAATTCAATTTCAGTTTAGTTTTAATTAGTTTTTAAAGTTAATTTGCTTGTTTAGTGGAGGTGATGGACAGCTAAGAAACTGGAAGATAGTGGAGCCACAAACGACAGGTCCCTAGGACCCTGAAGGTAAGTATGACTGGAAAGCAGTTGGGCTATATTAAAATGTGAACCTATATTAATCAAAAAATTGATTCTATTAAAAGCACGAAGAGACAGTTTGGCTGAGATATAGATATAACACACTAGCTGACATGCAGTAAATATCACCAGCAGACACGTTAACCCAGCGCAAGGGGAGCTCACAATCAATGAAGGCTACTAGGGGCAAGTTCATCTCACATGCAGGATGAGCTCTAAGCCAGACCATCAGAACAGAACAAGGAAAAGAAAACCACCAAGACACTGACTCTGTCTGACACAGCTCTGGACAGTTGTTGCATTCATATTATTTTGTACAAATGTTGGCTATGCATAAAAGATAGAAAACATGTTAAAATCACACCAACTACCAGTCGATCCCTACCTCGGTCTCCCCGGCTAAGTTAGCCTCCCTCTAACGTCACATGGGGCTCTCCTCCTAACAGCGGTCGTCAGCTGCGACCGGACGCCGCCCTGACCCCGGGCTCTTTTGAAGGATAAAGCAATCGTGGCAGGTCAGCCACACGACACGTAGCGTGCCAGCTCTTCACGCGGAGGAGAAAAGCAAAACACCCGCGGCCCACCAACAGGTGCCTATAGGACTTTGCTATTAGCTAATCACTGTCCGATAGGCACCTGGAACTCAAAAGTTATCGATCAGGTCAGTTTGAGCTGCAGAAACGTATCTTTGGTCTTCTGAGTATCACCTCAAGACAAACCACAGTCCTGTTCTTTGTTTTCTTTTTTTACTCTGATGTGTTTACAGACACCAGGTACCACATACAGGGACCACGAATAGGGACCACGTGCAGGGACCACCCACAGCTACAGGTACCACATACAGGGACCACATATAGGGACCACGTACAGGGACCACGCCCCCCTCTTCTGCTAATATTGTAGGTGGGTTTTTTCTCCCGCCAGGCTTTTTGAAGGCTGCGGCAGACACGCAGAGGACAGATACAGAGTTCCAGAGAGACGTCAGAAGGAGGAAGTCGCCGCAGAGCTGAGAAAACCTTTGGGGTAAAAGAAGCAGGCTGACCGACGTGGCGAGAAGAGAGGAAGACACCGTGACCCAACAGGAGAAGAGAGCTGCTGGCTTGGATCCACGTAGAAGGGGACGTCTTTGTGAAACACGAGGAGACGCAGGGACACGTCCCACCCTCCTTTCAGATCCTCTCCTACGCTCTTCTCCCGTCTCATTGTTTGCAAGATGTGCTTTGTTGTAAGAATTACAGACTACTTCCTTGTTTTATCGAGATCTTTTTAATCGGACCATAATCAAACTCTTACCCGGATGTAAAGAGGGGTCCATGTTAGTTAAAAACTCTCTGGTCCTACTCTGCTATGTGTCAGCTTCATAGCAGACTTGTAGGATTTATCCTTTATCACTTCTGCATGTTTACTGTAGTTTTTATTAGTCGGGGTGTTTTGGGGATCATTAATCCAGTTTTACCTGTCTACAGTGAACGTCTCATTATCCAGGGTTGCTGTTTTTTTGTCTCACTGAGCAGCTGAAAAGGAGGACCGTGGCCCCGGAGGAACCCTGAACTGAGCGCCGTGGCTCTGTGAAACTCTGAGAACGAACTGAGTGTCAACAGCAGCAGGACTGAGTATTTAACTTTGTCCTTATTTAAGACAAACAGAGCCATTTTAAGAGACTCAGATTTGAACTGTTTTCTACTGCACATTTTAACTTGCTGAATTATTAAAGATTTCGTTTTAAACTTTAAATCCTGGTCTGAGACTGTAAATGCTGATTTGGTCCAGCCTGTTCCCCAGCAGAAGCTTTAGGCAAGCATTGATAGAAACATCTGAACCCGGTCTCATGACCTGCGTCACATCTCTATAAAGCATCAGTCTGGTAAAATTCTATATGTTTTTATTCTTGTCATCAATTAAACCATGTACAGAATCAATGTTACACAAACATTAAAATCACCAAGTATGTAACAGACGATAAAGTTAAAGGGGACAGAGTATAACTTAATGTAATTATTAATCACAATAAACAGATCAATAGTAAAGTTTTGGAAAACATTTAACAAGGAAACAGAACCCACATTTTTGATATATATCGTACGTATCCAGAGTATTCAGAGACACTATCTGCACGTTTATAAACTATTTACCCATTTTAACAGGCCTGCAGTGAAACAGCCAAATTCAGCACACAATTGGGCAAGACACCGAATTCTTGAGCCGGGGATCGATAGCCAATCTTCGGATTGGTGGACGACCCGCTCCACCTCTAAGTTCTCTCTTTTCAAAACAAATGGATAGTTAGCTTTGAAAAGCACCAACCCTGGCAGGATGCACGTTAAAGAGAAAGCAACACATTTACTGACAGAACAGAATGAAAACAGCAATCAGGAAATACAATCATACATGTTTACTATACTATACTTAACAAAAACTACAAAGGTCTAAAACTGTGTAGACTATTAAAAAACAGGAAATGTTTCAATGTATTGACACAAAGTGTAAACAACAATAAACACAGTGAATACAGTAAACACAATAAAATACTAATAAATAAATAAATAAAACTTTGCCTGATCTATCCAGGATTGAAGTTCTGGAATAAACAGGTGTTTTGATGACATCATCTTGGACTTTTCAGCAATGTGCATGTTTTAACATTTTATTTATGAAGCGAGTAATCAAGAAAATACTTGGCTAATTAATGGACAGTGGGAAAATAATCCTTTGTCGCAACGCTGGTTGAGTAGCGCTATAATTCTTTTTAACATTTTAGGATAACTACTAAATTTAAAAAACTACATGAATAAAGAAACGGTTAATTAACAGATATGTAACTAATTTACTTAAAGAGGATACAAGTTAATAATTCTCTGAAAATAAAAATCCAAGTGGATCAGGAATCAATAAAACAGAGTGACTCAGTAGAAACAACTAGCCTGGCTCTGACCCACTTCTTCCAGGACCCTCCCTCCAGCAGAGGGGTGAGGGTGGGAGGCGTGGCCTCATTGTGTGCTCCGACAACAGGATTTTGTGGAGAGGAGGAGCAGGACAGTATGTAGTCGCAGCCACGATACATGCTGCTCAGAATATAAAGTTAATGTTGTCTCTCGCTCAGTTTGTAGAGAAGCTCAGAATATAACAACCCAGCTATCAGGACATGAGGAGGAGGCAGGAGGAAACCGCTAGCTTGGCTCTGAAAAATGTTCACAGCGAAGCAACGCGTGACTGCGATGGTAGACTTTAAGGTGACTACTCTGAGAAAACAATTTACCACATTGTTCACACCAGTATGGTTTCTCTCCAGTGTGAACACGTCTGTGAGTTTGTAGGTGACATAATGTAATGAACGCCTTCCCACACTGGTCACAGCTGTACGGTTTCTCTCCAGTGTGAACACGTAGGTGGATTTTTAGTTCACCTGATGTAATGAACGCCTTCCCACACTGGTCACAGCTGTACGGTTTCTCTCCAGTGTGAACACGTTCATGGATTTTTAGTTTAGACGATTGAGTGAAAGCTTTCCCACACTGGTCACAGCTGTACGGTTTCTCTCCAGTGTGAACTCTCTGATGAATCTTTAAAGATCCAGATGTTGTGAAGGATTTGTCACAGTGCTGACAGTGGTGACGTTTGAGTCCATCTCTTCTTCTCCGTTTCTATAGAAACAGAGTTAGAGAGAAAGAAAGACAGTGAGTGAGATGTCATGGTGGAGCGAGCTATCTAGAACCATAAATGACATTTAGCATGTCTGTGGAACAAAACCCACAACGTTCAAGTTTGATTAATGCATTACCACCTGTGACAACCAACTGCAGGGTTGTGTCCACAGAGGGGCCTGGGGTGGCACAGACCTCTATAGGAATCTGACTGATCATCACAGATTAACCCATAACATTTCTCAATCATCTTAGCTACTACCTTCTTCACAGCTCTCTGTGACTCCGTTTCATTCCGTCATCTGCAGGCTGTATTTTCCAAAGTAAAGGTTTAGATTTTGTTGATTTGGTAAACAGGGTTTGTTTTTTTGTGATTTCCTGTCAGGTTTGATCTGCTCTGTGCTGCTTGACGCGCCATCCGTTAAAAATAGACCTGCTACCTTTTCTCTGCTGAGCGGAGGAAAGCCTGGGACGCTTCAGGGATGGGCTTTTTTCCCTTTCTGGTGGACTCACAAGCATTGACCTGAAAGTGTCGCGATTTTCTCCAGCAACCACGACGCAGCTGGAGTCAGTGGACTTTAGACTTTACACACTCATGACCACCGTTCTCTCCCCCATCAGATTCTCCCTCACTCGTGTCATTGCCAAAACTTCTTTGATGCTGTTCTGCTTCTATCTATCAAATAGTTCTAGCTTGTGAAATGACAGTCTGCTTAAACAATCGGTGTAACTTGAGCATAATCGTTACCGGAGATGAGACAGCAATTCATTAATCCCTCGTCACAGTAAACTGTGAGCGGCGTCAGCCTGGTGTTTAGTGTGGCCATTGTTTCTGATTTTATTCTGAACAAAAACTCAACTGTGGTTGGGAATACTTATGTTTTGTGGCTCAATAACATCAGACGTGCTTGAGTCACAGAGAGACCTCTGCTTTGTTTTGGAACCAACAAAACCGACTGCAGCTGATATTACTGTAAATATTACTATAACGTTGCAGTGGGAGTTTACCGGTCTATCTATAGCCGCTGTCACTCTGCCTTTTTCTTCCTGGTAGTATTGTGTCAATATGCCGGCTCTCTGCTCAATACGACAGGTAACATCACAGAGCCAGAAAGGACTCTGAGCCGGGAACGTTGGTTGAGCTGGAACATGTCTGTGTGAAAAGCTACAGCCACTCTGACCACACCATGGTTCACTTGATTCCTGCTTACAGACAAAAGCTAAAACTGTGTAAACCTGTAGTGAGGACATCAAAGCAGTGGACAAGTGAAGCTGTAGAGAACCTCCAGGCGTGTTTGGACACCACTGACTGGGATGGTTCCAGCACTGCTACCAACAACCTGAATACAGAGGCTGTGATGTCCTACATCAGCTTCTGGGAGGACAGCTGTATACCAACACGCACGAGGATGAGTTATAACAATGACAAACCCTGGTTCACAGCTAAGCTCAGACAGCTGAGTTTGGAAAAAGAAGAGGCGTTTTCAGGGTGGCAACCGCACCAGGTTTAAGGAGTCCAAGCACAAGTTTAGCAAGGCGGTGCTAAACAGCTGTACGCAGAGAGACTACAGCACCAGTTTTCAAAAAATGACTCTGCTTCTGTCTGGAGAGGCTTCAGACAGATCACCAGCTACAAACCTAAATGAACGACTCACGCCTTGCCAACGAGCCGAACCAGTTTTACTGTTGCTTTGAAAGACAATGGGACAGACCCCAGATCAGCCACAGTCCACTATCTCATCCCCCACCTCCTCCCTTTCGCTTACCATCCTGGAGACGGATTTCAACAGAGTGTTCAGGAGGCAGAAACCTCGCAAAGCAGCTGGGCCGGACTCCCCAATCACCCTAAAGCACTGTCCTTATCAGCTGTCTCCGTTGTTTACTGATATTTTTAACACCTCACTGGAGACATGCCATGTGCCAGCCTGCTTCAAAGCCTCCACCATCATTCCTGTCCCCAAGGACCACAGGGCTAAACAACTACAGACCCGTCACCCTGACATCAGTGGTAATGAAGTCCTTTGAGCGTCCTGTGCTGTCCCACCTAAAATCCATCACTGACCCACTCCTGGACCCCCTGCAGTTCACCTACAGAGCCAAAAGGTCTGTAGATGATGCAGTAAACATGGCCCTTCACTACAACCTTCAGCAGGAACTCCCAAGGAACCTATACCTTTCAGCACCCTCATCCCGGCCCTGCTGCAGGACAAGCTCTCCCAGGTGAGCATGTTTGACTCCACCTGCAGGTGGATCACAGACACTCCTGATCGACAGGAAGCAGCATGTTAAGTTGGACAAACATGTCTCCAGGACCATCAGCACCGGTTCCCCTCAGGGCTGCGTTCTTTCCCCTCTGCATTTCTCCCTATACACCAACAGCTGCACCTCCAGTCACCGGTCCGTCAAGCTCCTGAAGTTTGCGGATGACACCACCCTCATTGTGGGGACGAGTCCGCCTACAGGTGGGAGATCGTTCATCTGGTGACCTGGTACAGCCAGAACAGTCTGGAGCTCAACGCTCTGAAGACAGTGGAGATGGTCGTGGACTTCAGGAAGAGCCCAGCCCCATCATCCTGCGTGACTCCGCAGTCACCACTGTGGACTCCTTCCCCTTCCTGGGCACCATCATCTCCCAGGACCTCAAGCGGGACCTAAACATCACCTCCATCACCAAGAAGGCCCAGCAATAGATGTACTTCCTGCGGCAACTAAAGAAGTTCAGTCCGCCAAAGACAATGATGGTGCACTTCTACACCGCCATCATTGAGTCCATCCTCACCTCCTCCATCACCATCTGGTACGCTGCTACCACTGCCAGGGACAAGGGCAGGCTGCAGCGCATCATCCGCTCTGAAGAGAAGGTGATTGGCTGCAATCTTCCTTCTCTTCAGGACCTGTACGCCTCCAGCACTCTGAGGCGTGCAGGAAAGACTGCAGCTGACTCCTCCCACCCCGGACACAAACTGTTTCAGACACTCTCCTCAGGCAGGAGGCTGCGGTCCATCAGGACCAAAACCTCTGGCCACGAGAACAGCTTCTTCCCGATGGCCCTCATCAAGGTCCAGGTCCCCACTGTCAGTGACTCTCATGCCTCCCTCCCCAAACACACACACACATAAACATTCCTGACACACTTTACAACAACCCTCAACTGTGCTTTATGCTCATGTTGTGAATTGTTGCACATACTTTCCAGCATTGTATTATAGTAATTTTTGATCTCCTTACTTTTCATATATTTATATTTCTATTCATGTCCAAGTGTACTGTAAGCACCAATTAAGGCAAAGTCCTCATATGTGATTCTAATTCTGATAAGGGCAATTCAAATTATACCACGGCACACAGGAAACAAAAGCCAGGAGGCTCGACCGCGCTGCGGCACATCCATCAAACAATTCACCCAATTTAACCCCAAAACTCCCAAGGTCCCATCAGTCCCAAAAGTTCATCCACTTAACTTAAATTTTCTCATAGCAAATAAATCCCGCCTTAGCGGAAAAGCAAAAATGCTACCAGGTGGAAGCTCAGTGAGTCGTCATTAACCCTCAAAGGCAAAGAAGAACAAGGGAGGCAAGAAATAACATTATTAATAGTCCATATTACAACCCGTGTCCACATAACAGGCCTGTGATACAATGTACAGAGTAATAACCACACACACGTTTACCAACACAGCTGTTATATTTGAAGGTCGTCTTGGTGACTTTTACAAATTCGTGATGAGCCGATGACGCTCGATCCTTCCTGTGACAGCAGAGCAGCCAGCAATGTTATCAATATGTAGGTCGGGCTGACTACTGTGTGTATTTTAATTTAGCTTCATTTAAATTTACTGGTTTGACAATAATATGCACTCTACAGTAAATGATAGAAATTCTAGATACTCAATGCAACATCGGTTAACAACTTTTAGGTCTGTTACCTAGCAACCGAAGCCACTTTTCTGATTTTGCCGAGCTAAACGTCTTTTAATCGCTGTTTTTGGTAGTTTTTTAAAGAAATGATACTGATTGAAAATGGAGCAGAAACAACAACTATCACTGAACTTCAAGTCAGATGACTTAGAGGTGTTTGTAACCCCCGTCAAGAAATCCAAATCCACATAATGCTTAACTCGGGAGATTACAGATAGAGAGGAGGCTAAAATAACGGACCCAGTCACCGCCGCATATCCGGCATCCAGCGGAGCGTTGATGCTGCTAAAAAGAAAATAAGTCCATTTACAGTGATACGAAGACACAGGCAGCTGTTGTGTCCAAAGAGCAGAGAAAAGCCGCTGGTCGCTCCCCCCTCACCGACCCCGGCAGAAACCCGTAAGGCTACTCTTCTCAGTAAAGGGTACCAAATGAAAGGTCTGCTCAAGCCGGATCGATTGATGTAATATCCATGTAGTCTGTAATAGTAAAATAAATATATTAATATACAATGGATTTCTATTCCTTAGCTTCTGACTTTTCAAAGGAGACCAGAATTATGCCTCTAGGCCAAATGGTCGAGGAGTTATTCCTGATTCATTTGTGGTGCGTTATTTTAGGCGTTTTTTCTAGAAAAAGGTGATTGTTTTCAACAGGTTAGGAGCGTTTATTTAAGATTTTACAAAGTTAGGATGCTTCTATAATACACTTTTCTTATCTAAAGTTAGGAAAGGAACATTAACTTAGGAACTGTTAATCTGTAATGGCTTTTTTCATAATTCAGTTCCTAACCCTTATTACCATGGTAACCAAGCAGTTAGGATAGGATCTGCCGGTTAGGAAGTTTCTGTAATACGACCCCTGCTCTTCAAAGATAGTTGTTTATTACTTAAAAACAGTCCCGACATCAGAATGCAATTATAGCTTATATTTTATTAGCTTTTCATATTGATTTTAATGGGATATTACAGTTTATTTATTAATTTTGACAATAATTTGCATTATATTATAAGCACAGCGTATTTACTTTAGCTTGTAATAAAATGTATTAGTATGAAAACTCAGATGTTACCTTTTAGTCTGGGTGGAAGATTACGGAGGCGTTTTTAAACGATGAGCATCGACAACCACTGACAAAACAAGCCAAGACAAAATATTACAGCTAAGCATTTCATACATTTAGTGGAACCTGTTAATGAGGCCTGATGGTAACAATATAATCTGTTGTCCATGCCTGGCCTGGTAAAGTGTAAAGTTTTACTCTTTGTTTGAGACTTTCTGTCTGTGTTGCAGAAATAACAGCTACACAATTTAATAGCAAACACGTGTAACTAGTTTCAGTCACATTTTGAACACGCCGGCTTAAAAGAGATTTCTCTGATACAGACAGAAATGTCAAAAACGTTACAACCATCCCCGATCTCCCCTAAATATAAAGACGCAGACTCATTCAGATCATGACTGCTACAAATCAACGAAGCAAATATTTGATGTGATCAGGTGGAAATGGTGAAGTTTGACTCTGCATCAGCTGCACAATAACAGATCTCTGTGTTTCAGACCACAAAATCCGAAACGTGGAGGAAGTCAGCGTCGATTTAGTTTAAACTTAAAACAAAGCAGAAGCGCAGCGAGCGGCTCTTCAGCCTCCACACCTCCAACATGTAACACACGGAGCTCCTGTGTTTTCCTGTCTCCCCCTCAGTCACAGCCAGAGAAAGCGCCCTCCGCCTGTCCGGTTATATCTCTTTAAATAAAAAGCTCCACATCTGGTCCTTTACTAACCGCTACATAACGGCTGGTCCTGCGGCTGCCTAGCAACAGTAAAACCCGCCGCAGGCTCCGACCAGAAAGGCTGCTGGCTGCTGGCTGCTGGCTGCTGGCTGCTGGCTGCTGGCTGCTGGCTTGAACGAGCCTCACTCAGCTTGTGATGAATTTGAACCAACCAGCAGATGTAGCTGATAGAAGTCGCCTTATTTAGCCCCGTTTTCAGGCCCAGTGTCTGAGCACGCGCCTGGTTCCGAGACTGAAGAACCTCCGTTTGTAGCGATGAAGTCATGAACACTGACCTGAACCTCGGGATTCTGGTTGTCCCCCTCCATTCCGCTCTTGTAGTGGTCCTGGTCTCAGATCCAGCAGGTCTCCTCTCGGACTGTCTGCGCTGTCAAAGCACAGGAGCGCTGCGGGATCCCGTGGAGCGCCGTGTTCTCGCGATGTTTGGTTACTGTTGCTAAGGTAACTTTCAAACAGCAGCTGCTTGATTTCAGGCAGAAGTTGTGTTTTCTTGTCTCAGATGTTTTACAGGTTGTTTGAGCATCTTTTGTGACTAATTAGGAAAAAAATAGTGATAATGGCTTTTACCCTTAATCACTCGAGAGGCCTTAAAACTGCTAAAACTGTAACAAAGAGTCACTGAGAAGAGTGACACAGAGCTGGAAAACAATCAGGTCATCATCTGTTGTTACATTCACACGCTGATATAGACGTGAACACACTCGACACACTCGCTGCAGTCCACAGTGTGGACATACTACAGTACTGTCTGTTGTAACTGTTTAACAACATGCTCCAGTTAGTCTTTTTCCCCAGTAACTAAATTCTTTCACTGAGCGTTTCATCTCTAAACACTACTTTCTTTGAACTTTCTTGCATTTGAACCCTTCATATTTGGTTCTTGCTGTTTCAGACTGCATCCTATAAATCAGTAATCTGCACTTCCCAAAGACCTCGTACAGCTCCGTCTGTAAAGTAGGTTCAAAATGAAGAGTTCACTATCATCGTGGGCACCGATCAGAACGCGTGGAACAAGCCAGGAGACTTCAGTCCTCTGAACAAAGTTTATCTTCTCTAAAAGGTTGCATTTATGAACATATAGGGGGATGAAAAAAACACACGTGGGCTGTTGAATCTGAAAGAAAAACAAAGATTAGAAATAAACATCAACTTAGTCTCACATGTCATCTCAAAGAAATAAGGAAACATAAATAAAATATTAAAATGTCGGCTGGTGGAGCGTCCATACTAAATACATTCTGTGATAAATACATGATGTTACACTGAGCGTATTTTCCCAAATTAAGAAATATCTTTGTGACTGGTTGTTATGTGCTGCTCTGCTCTTAATATAAATTATAAACTATTAATTCATTATAATTTTAGCACCACAACTTGAATCTTGTGAACAATGAACTCTCACAGTCAGACTGCGCCCCCTCCTGGGGAAACTGAGATATAATGAGTTCTGACATTAAACTTTTGACTCACTGAGTCATAATGATGAGATAAGAAGTAACTTACTGTCATAATTTTATCTTAATTTTGGTATAAAAAGTATCTCAGTACCTTAAAAATGTTGACTCACCACAGGAGCTTTTATTTTGTTAATTCTTACCTTTTCTGGGCCATAAGGGTCAAACAACAGAGAATCCCTCAGTAATAATAGAGCCAGAACAGATCTAATTATTAACTGCAGCTTACAGCAGATACAACCAAACTACTGCAGGAAGCACATCAGCTTCTGTACGTTACAGTAAGGGAGGAAACATCAACGCTGACATGAGCTGAGGTGTAAAGGTCAAAGACATGTGAGCTAACAGACACATTAGAAAGTTCAATAACAAATCAAAGCTGCTCGTTCAGCCACTAAACGTCAGTGATTTCCTGTCAGAGCACAGCACATCCAGAGAGAGTAAAACAATGAAGGAAAGAGCAGAAGATGGAGGAACAGCAGCACTCTGTTCTCTTTATTCTTCATCTTTATTGGTCTGTCTGCTTAATGAGCAGCAGGTGGCGCTCAAACACAGTCTGACTCTTCAACAAAACCTCTGGAAGCTGTTAGACTCTGAAGGACTGAGAGTGAAAGTCTGGAGGTTTCTTTTGACCCCAAACAGACTCAGAGGACAAAGAGTGGGCTTTTGTTTTCCACAAGTGACGCAGTTCATTAGAAAACATGATATTTAATAAGGAATGTGAGAGTGAGAAGACGATAAAGAGGTTTTCCACCTTTGTAATTCAGCTTCCACCGCTTGTTTTGGTGCTGCTGCACAGACGACATCAGAATCTGAAGTAGAAGTTAAAGGTTTGTGACTGCAGGATCAAAACAGGACGTTTCACTTTCATCATGCTCCTTTGAAAACACAACTTTTCTCTCTTTGATTTCTGATCAGCTCGGAAGTGACGTCTGTGGTGACAGCGGTGAGAGGTCATCATGAACATCATCCAATCCCTCAGCCTGGGTCGGCGGGGTCATCATCAAATGTAAAACAGGTAAATGGTCTGTGCTTCAATCAATAACAGAAAAAATATTGTTGAGTGGAAACAGTTCATTGAACGTCCAGTTTCAAATGATGAGTCAAAGCTTCTCTTTGAGTCGACTAATTTAATGAGAATATTGAAAAGGACTCGAGTCTCAAGTCTCCTGCTCAGATTATTACAGCACCAACCCTGGCAGGATGCAAGTTAAACAGAAAGCAACACATTTATGACAGAACAGAAAGCAAACAGCTGTTAAAATGGAGTCAGATAATGAAGACAATAATATTTGATTCAGTCAGACTTTCACAATAACGAAGGTTTGTTCACACTGAACACAAATGTGGTCTGTAGTGGTTTTGTAGTCCCCGTTTATTCAGTGCCTCTTCTCCTCACTGGATCAAACCACAGCAGTAAAACCCAGAGGCATCTAGGATCTAATTCGTTTGAAGCTGTAATGGAAATATGTCCTTTAGGAGTCTTCTGAAATAAAGATTCTAATCCAGACGTCTTTTAAGGGTTTTATTCTTTGCAAAGGGTCAGACAAACATACAGAGTGCCAAACAAAGACAAAAAGCCAGTGAAGGAGCAGGTGACTTTATATTACTCAGAAGATCGAGGGAGTCGGGACCAGCTGTCCTGAGTCGAAGGCCTATCAAGGTCAGTCAGATAAGAAAACGAGCATCTTTCCCATGGGAAGCTTCACCTAGCTGAAACATGATAAAATATCAAATACCACACAGTGAGACCTTTGTATATTATAATGGAGCATGCAGGGTGAAACAGTAAACAGAGTAAAATATCAAATTTCCATTACAAAGCGTACCGAGTCCTTCAGACGTTGATCTAAGAACTCAGCAGAAACGTCTTTAGTCTCTTTCCTCCAGTTTCTGTTTTTTCTTGTCTCTCTGTTCATTTGTCAAAGGCAAAGCTGAATTTTTCCTTGAAGCTGAAACATTCAGACTTGAGCAGACACGTCTTCACCTCAGCTGGTGCCGTCTTTAACGAATCTGCGGCTCTTTGTTTCGACAAGAATTGGCTTTGCTTTCAGTCTGAACAAACCTCAACAGATTCAAAACCACATTAGAAAATAACAACAGATCAAAATACACAACTACTCTATATACAGTTAACACATTTAAAATCTGGAGAAAAAATGTAAAGTAACTAAAGAAACAAGAAATGACATGTTTAAGAGAAACATCATGGGAAGTAGATTTTACTCCAAACTATTTTGATGATGTTTTCAGGACCCCACAAGATTTAATATAATGAAGAGAGTGGACTCTTCAGAAGATACAGCTAATAGATTTGGTCTCTATAGTAATCACTTCTATTGATATTTGCAAGTGAGAAGCTATTTGAGAGAAAAAGTCCACATGAGAACTCTTGGAGACCTCCACCCTTTTTGAGATGCACGGTAAAGACGCACCAGAGCCAAAACCCCAAAAACACAACAGGACACATCTACCAAATACTTCAGGAAATACAACTGTGTACCATACTATACTAAACAAAAACAGGGACATGAGTAAATGATATGTATTGACACAATAAAGTATAAGCAAAAGAAAATAAAAAACAGTGAATACAGATATAAAATAAAGATTAAATATGTTTCACTACAATAACAAGAAAACATGAAGCTCACAGAAACAATATTTCATCCAGCGTGGAGCTTCATTCTTGACTTTGGGGAACACATCTGTAATAAATGAGTCTAAACTCAAGCCTTACACACTACACTTTGTTGGAGCTTTTGACCACATCCCATGGCCTTCTTCAGCAAACTGAACCTCTATTGTTGTACCATTGTTGTGACGTTATCTATAGTAGCAGAACCCAAAAATGCTGTTTCTTTGTTGGAAATAAACAGGGATTGAACCGCCGACCTTCCAATTAACGGCCAACCCGCTCTACCTCCTGAGCCACAGCCGCCCCTGTCTCTGATAAGCACGCAACAACTCACTTGGCTCTGAAATATGATCACAACGAAGCATCATGAGTGCGTTGGTGGCGTTTAAGGGTACTGCTCTGAGAAAACATTTTCCCACATTGTTCACACCAGTACGGTTTCTCTCCAGTGTGAACACGTAGGTGGATTTTTAGTTCACTTGATGTAATGAATGCCTTCACACATTGGTCACAGCTGTACGGTTTCTCTCCAGTGTGAACACGTAGGTGTGCTTTTAGGTGACATGATGTAGTGAATACTTTCCCACATTGTTCACACCAGTACGGTTTCTCTCCAGTGTGAATACGTCGGTGCCTTTGTAGGTGACTGGATGTAGTGAAAGTTTTCCCACACTGGTCACAACAGTACGGTTTCTCTCCAGTGTGAACACGTTTGTGATATTCTAGGTGACATAATGTAAGGAACGCCTTCCCACACTGGTCACAGCTGTACGGTTTCTCTCCAGTGTGAACACGTAGGTGTGCTTTTAGCTGACATGATGTAGTGAATACTTTCCCACATTGTTCACACCAGTACGGTTTCTCTCCAGTGTGAATACGTCGGTGCCTTTGTAGGTGACCTGCTCGAGTGAAAGTTTTCCCACACTGGTCACAGCTGTACGGTTTCTCTCCAGTGTGAAGCATCAGATGTATCTTTAAAGATCCAGATGTTGAGAAGGATTTGCCACAGTGCTGACAGCAGAGACGTTTGAGTGCCTCTCTTCTTCTTCGTTTCTACATCAACAGACAGACACACAGAGAGAAAGACAGTGAGTGAGAGGTCACGATGAAGCGAGCTATCCAGAAGCAGCTGACACTAATGGCACCAGTGTAAACCTGTTTCCATCACAACACCGGAAGTCATTCATGCTGCAACAAAAAGTAGTTATTTTTTAATGCAATTATAATACATCTTGTCAAATCTAATTTTGAGTAATAGTGTGACTTTATACATTTAAGCTGTAATAACATTATTAAGAAGACAAAGATTTGTTCAATCACATGACAATTACCTGGAAGTTTTGACAGGAGCCATAACAGGGGGTGAGAACAGTGAACTTTTATGCTCCAGTCTGTTATTCTACAGCTGCTCTACCAGGTGAACAACAGTAATAATGATCAAATTACCTTATTAACCACCGTTAAATGTTGTTTACAAGTGAATGTGAGACACGCTGTATTGTCCTGCATAAGAAATAAGAGTATATGAATGTTGTTTTCACAGTGTCCCATGCTACTTCAGACATGAATAAATCAGTTCAACTTTCAGACTCTCCATTAGAAAAACATACAACATTATAGACACACAACACATCTTAAAATACAACAGCACAAATAAAATATGAATTAAACACTGGCGCTTTTTAAAAACAAAAGACAGATATACAAATTCACGAGGTGACTGGTCTTGTACATCACCAGTGTTTCCCATAAGTTCATGTATTTGTGGCGGCTCACCACAATATAAACGCTGACCGCCACAGATTGATTTTCGTTTATTCCCCCCCCCCAAGCCTATTTAAAATCGTATTTGATTGCAGAGCGCCGCAGAGCATTCACGCAGCACTTTCACTCATGGAACACCGTTGCACAAATCTGTCCAACACAACGCTGTCAGTGTTGGAGACCCAGCTTAAAAAGTTATAGCCAGCATGCAAGGGGCCTAGCAAATAAGGAGAGCTAAGTTAATGTTAGAATGCAGCTGGAGGCTTGCACTCTGTATAGTCAGTAGCTGGCAGTCAATATCGATGCGCGCCAGTCTGAACACAGCCATTTGATATGTGAAGAAGTGCCCCAGGTATTTTGTTTGATTACAAGTATTTAGCACTTGAGCTGACAGATTCCGATAACGAACGAGACTCCGGCATGCTAACTAGTTACGCAGCCCCGGCCAATCTAAATGTTTGTCAGATAAATAATTCAGAGCCAATTTTCAATCTAGCCACAGTCAAGTCTTACAGACAATAAGAACACTAAAAGCTGCCAGAACTAGAGACATATTTGGCATAGATTTGTGCATGCTGAAAGAACCCAGTTCCACATTATTAACACCAGTAACCAAAATTGTCACTCTCTCCATTATTGAGGCAGTATTTCCAAGTGTGTGGAAGTCAACTGCTGTTGTTCCAGTTTTCTCAGTGGACAATTACAGACCTATAAGCATCATACCTACAGTGTCAAAAGTCACAGAGAAACTCATTTCCCAACAAATAATAACACATTTGAATACAACTACATTTCCCTTCATTCAATGCAATTTGGTTTCAGAACTCAACACTCCACGGAAAATGCTAATTTTGGCCAATTCTGGTGCATTTGCAGCAATGTTAATTAATGTACACTGTCCCTGTCAAATAAATGATTAGATAAAAATCTGGAAAGTTGAGATCCTTATCCCCTTTGTACCACATACCATGACAACACTCTTCTTAGCATTGTATTGCACATCACATTTGACCCCATAATCAAACATATATTCAGCAGCTGTTGAAATCCATCACTGCTAGGAGAAACAATAGCCAGCTCATTGGCCTACAAATCATTTAACAGTTAACAGTTGTTAACAATCATACAGCTAGTTCTGCAGCCTTAGTTGTTCTGATAAATCATTCATACATGTTGAAGAGGGCTGGGGAGAGTAACCCCCGTGTCGTATTCATCTACTTGCCTCATACACAAGTCCCACAATACAACCATTCACAGCACAGAGAGCTTCACAATGAGCAATGTCAATACAATTTACATTTGAACACACAATTACACCTTTTGATAAATAAACACCGCTCAAAAGAACGTCTGATTTCCTACAGCACAACAACAGATCTTCACTTGTGAGCTTGGCCCAACCCAGTTTAGCCTTGCAGGCACCATTATCCTCGTTTGTCATCTCAGGAAGACTATCGACAACATAACAAATGGTCAGGGCCGTGCAGACACCTTTGGAAGGGCAGGTGTTCAAAGTATAGAAAGGGCACATGGAACAAGGATTTAAATAGGGCTGTTCTCAAAATATCGATACAGAAACATATTGTTATGTCAATGTTTCCCCTATATACATTCAAGAGCGGTGGTGCGCCGCTGCTGGATTGTGGCCGCCGCTACTAAAAATTCCCACAGTCATTATCATATCAGTGCGCTACTAATTTTCACTCACACGCTGTGCGAGCAAGGTAACACTTCCTCTCCTCGTTCTTCAAACGACATCTGCGTGCACCGTAACTCTAAATCGGGAGGCGCAAAGCGAGTTTTTGGTGAACGGTGCGGAGGAAAATATTCTGGCACTAAATGTATGTGTTGGCTTCTCAAGACCAAGAAAATTCTGTCTGTTGTTTCCCCAACTGCTGGAAAAATGAAGCCGGTTTGCGCTAAGCTAGCTAACAGCTCCCCTCCCCTCAGACTGTGCAACTGAGCAGGAAATCTTATAGAGTAGGCTGTGTCTTTTGGCTGCAATGTAACTGAACATTAGCTCAATTTATAGAAAGTAACTGGCAGCTGTAATTTATTGATGCCTACTTGTCCAATGTTGAGACCATCAGGTAAAACTTAGAGTAAACTGGTGAAGCCTACAGCTCTGTCCTGTAGCCTACAGACAGGTACATCGTAAATTATTTTCAGTTTTCAGATGAGTCTGAAAAAGTGGTTGTTGGGAAAAGGCGGTGACTGTGGAGGAGCTGAGGTTAGTAAAGCAAATTAGTGATGCAAACTAGTCCTTTTAAGCGAATGAGAAGACGTTACTTTTTGGATTTTAATGTGCAGAAGGGAGCTGGTTTCTCATGTTGCCTATATTTTATATTAATGTCTACAGATAAATGTCAGAAGCTGTAAAATGAAGACACAAAAGGCAAACATGAACGTTTCTATAATGATTCTGAGGTGCTGCGCCATAAATGTAAAATCACCGTGGAGAGCATCATAACCAACCAAATAACTTTCCCCAGATCTAAAGGTTGTACTTCCTTCCCATCTTTCAGTGTTTATTTATTATCTGCTCTAGCTTTTCCAACTGTCCAAGGTGGATCAGCAGCAAACAAACTCCCGTCAGCCTGGACCTTGACAGCCAATACCCAGCTCCAGCTTTAAAACACTGTTGACATAACGTACAGGGAACAGTTGCTGTTGACAGGTTGCTGCTGTTGTTGCTGCTGATACTACTGGAGGCGATCTGTGACTACAGATATTAAAACAAACATAGGATATATATTAGCTGATTAAACAATTATGTGACCATGAATAGATGTAAAGATTGTCGAGTGTTTGGGCCTGGCTCACAGCGACTGACCTGCAGAACAGGGCGTCAGTAGTTTTTATCCTCGGTGCATATTATATTTATTATCAGTATATTCAGTTTTACGTTTATTGGAATTCACTTTCAAGCTATTAAATTCAATTTCAAATTATGCTATTTATTAACGGCAATTAAAAAAAGAGGGGAGCTTTTGTCACGTAAACATGTTTCAGTTATTTTAAATGAGATAATAAGGTATTCCGTCGAATACAAACTTGACACCATTTGAAATTTGACATAACCGTAAACTTACAAGATGCTTATTAATTATTCAACTTCATCATTAATTCATATTTTGTATGTTCTGCTTCAGCCTCATTCTTGCCCTCCTGAATACGTGATGGATTCTAGAAAAGACTAGTGCTCACGAGGAAATATAATGACTCTGCTTCACTTTTCACCAGAATTGTTTCCGCTGCGCGCTCCCGACACAACACGGGCTGCACTGGCATGCGCCGCGCGGGAAACTCCCAGAACAAAGAAAAGAGAAACGCTCGTGAGTTTTTCTTTCAGCTTCCTCTCTTCAAGATGAAAACAGGAACCACGGAGACACTTTGGAAATCAAACCACGTCAACACAAACCCTGGAGCGGGTTTTCAGGCTCTGATCTCTAACAACAGAATGAACGGATGATACACGGACCCTCGAGACTCTTCCTCGTGTCTTTAGTCTCGTGATGAAGTCATGAACACTGACCTGAACATCGGCGCTATCAGAGCACGAGGCTGCTGTTTGGCTCCTGGTCCGGGTTCTGGTTCTCCATCGTCCTGCAGGTCTCCGCTGTGACTGGTGGACCGTGTTGTCCTGGACTGAGTCTGGATTCTGGTCTCGGAGCTCTTCAGGCTGAGATACAGGAGCGCTGCGGGATCCCGCGGAGTGTTCTCGCGATGTCTCGCCCGCCCCCTTAGTTACTGTCGCTAAGGCCGTTTAGAAACATGGCTCCTTGATTTCAGGCAGAAGATGAAGTTTAGTTAGTTGGTTTCCTGAAACCAGCTGATCATATTTGATGTGTATGAGGGAGTGTGCTTCACACAGAGCAGAGTTTTAATGAAGCGCTTGTTATTATCACATCAGAGGCTCATGAAAATATCCTGCTGAAGCTTTTTGTTCATCGTGTTTTTACACAAAGAAAGAAATAACTTCATGTGTCACATTTAATGTTGAATTTACAGCAGAATCATTAAGAGTTTGTCGTAGACAGCGTTTCACAAAGTTTCTAAAGTTCCTCTAACTCAACAAGTCACTAAACTGCAGGATTGTTGAAGGGAGTCTGGGACTTTCTCCCCGGGCCACAAAGGAGTAGCTATATTACGGTTACTGTTTAAATGGTGAAATCAGATGAAACAGACAGTTTGTTCACAAACATCTGCTGCTTCTCTCGGCAGCTAAGAGAGTCCAAACACATCATTAACATCACAGTGAAGCTGTTT